TGTAGATCTAGGATCATGACGAAAATTGGAGAATTAGATGTAGAAATTGTTGTAGAATTGTAGGATAACGAAATTAGATGAAGTATATGAACTATTATGTGTAAAAACATTGTGTTGGATCCAAATAGAGGTTGAAAGTGCTCAAAACGAGTGGAAATCGTTATGGTGCGATAGTGAAAATTTTGATGTAGCAGATTGGCCATACTCGTATGATACGCGTATATGGGGCGTTCCCAGGGGTCATCCGCGCATGGAACGTGCCTGTTCCTAGTGCCAGCATGACCTTTTGTCGGTACGCGTATGATACACGTATGAAGAGGAGGCAAAACATGTATGGGATGGTCGTACGCGTATGGGAAGTTGGGAGGATTTTGAGAAGAAAAACGTCTCTGGTCAAACGTGTATGGTACGTGTACGAGACCTGAGCGCTGGAGCGAAACACGTATGATACGCGTATGGATGGACGGAGAAAGGAGCCATACGCGTATGGGACAGGGTCGTACGTGTATGAGCAAGCCGAGGTGCAGAAATTCCCGTTTCCCGCGATTTCTTTCCCGTTTTCCGCATGTAGTGCAGTTTCGCTTGATTTTTAATGACTAGTATAACTTAAGAAAACGTAAGGAGAGTAATATTAATGGAAATTGGGATTAAACCATGGGACATTGTATGAGTTAATTATTTATTCATGGATGATAATGATGTGGTGGTCATTTGGCAAATGTTAAAGGCTTATGCCTTCTGGTTGCATTACTCATTGGTGAGGGCTTATGCCCTGTTGTTAGCCTGTAACGGCATTGTGTTAAGAAGGGCTTATTTTATTACTGTTGAGGCTTCAATGCCATGGAAATGAACTAATTTGATTATTCTGCTGCTGAATCGATTATTTCGAATAAATGGAGTAATAAAGTGACTCGAAACTTTATGAATTTTGAAAGACGTGACATCCTACTTGTGTACTCTGATATATGTATTCCGTAGATTATGCTATAGTTATTACTATAGGGACTGGGGGTGTTACATATGATAGGGAGGTGTAGAACTCCATTGTGTTGGTATGAGTCAGGCGAGAGAGTTATTCTCGGACCTGAGATCATACAGGAGATGACTGAAAAGATTAAGATGATTCAAGAGAGGATGAAAGCTTCTCAGAGTTGTCAGAAGAGTTATCATGACAAGAGGAGGAAGGCAATCAAATTCCAAAAGGATGACCATGTGTTTTTAAGAGTTACTCCGATGACTGGCGTTGGTAGAGCTTTGAAGTCGAGGAAGCTTACGCTGCGCTTTGTTGGTCCATGTCAGATTTCAGAGAAGATAGGTGAGCTATCGAATTATTTTACCGTTGTCGTTTGTGAATCTTCATGACGTATTTCATGTGTCTCAGTTGAGGAAGTACATTTCGGATCCTTCGCATGTGATTCAAATGAAAGATGTACAAGTGAGAGATAATCTGATTGTTGAAGCATCACCCGTACGGATAGAAAGACAGGAAGTGAAGCAATTATGAGATAAAGACATTACCACCTTAGTGAAGGTATTGTGGGTGGACCCTTGAATACTACCAACAAGGTGATTCTTTGACAAATTCAAGTAATTCAATATCCTCGTGCTAGTAATTTCATTAGGAATCTCACCGGAAAGCTCGTTACGACTAAGATCAACAAAAGTTAGAAGCTTACGGTGACTTATCTCAGGCGCAATGGAACCGGAGAATCTGTTATGACTAAAATCAATCTTAGAAAGCTGTTGTAACTTTCCAATCTTAGAAGGGATTTCACCTGAAAACTGTTTTCCATCAAGGAGAAGGTTTTGAACACTGGTGAAGTTTCAATGGCCCAGAAAGCTTGTTGTTGGAAAGAGTAACTTGACCAAGATTCGGAGACATAGAAACAGGTTGAGGAAAGTTCCCAGATAAAAGATTATCTTGAAGCTCAACTTGCGTTAGCTCTGGAAGACCAAAAAGTCCTTTTGGAATTGACCCATTGAGAAAATTCTCACCCATTCGAAGTCTGCTTAAAGATATACACTTTCCAAGTGAATCTGGAATGGGACCAAAAAGGAAATTCCCTAAGGTGGAAGAGAACCAGTTAACTTGTTTGAAGAAACATCAACAAGTGTAAGCTTCCCGTTTTTCCCCAAACTCTGAGGAATGCTTCCAGTGAAGTTATTCTCCCAAATCTGCAACACTTCAAGCGCCGGCATCTCGCCGATAAACTCCGGTATCGCTCCATGAAGCTTGTTTCTAAACAAGTTCAAAAGAGTAAGATTCCTCAGCTCAGAAAAACTCACCGCAACTTCACCGGTGAAACCATTGTTCGACAAATCCATAGACTTCAAGCTCTTCAAGCTTCCAAGCTCCAGCGTAAGAGACCCGGAAAGCGCATTCACCTGAAGAAACAAAGTATCCAATTTCTGAAGCTTACTCAACTCTGCCGGAATCTCACCGGTTAAACCACAGTAAGCAGCGTCAAGCCTCACCATCTCCGATAAGTTACCAATCTCCGGTGGGATACCACCGTCATAGATGTTGTAAAATGTAAAGCTCACGTAGTGAAGTAAGGTTTCCGATCTCCGGCGGAATAGGTCCGAAAAGCTCGTTACCGAAACAGCGAGATACTCGAGATGAGACCAAACACCATACTCTGACGGGATTTTCCCGGTGAAAAAGTTTCCACCGAGATGTAAATGACGGAGAAACGACAAGTGGGTAACTGATAGAGGAAGTGAACCGGTAATGTTATTGTTGTAGAGATCAACAACCTGAAGATTGGAGAGAGTAGAAAGCTGAGAAGGGAAAGTGCCGTTGAAGACATTGTTGGAGAGGTTGAGGTAGCGAAGAGAAGAGAGAGAGATGAGAGAGAAGGAGGAATAGGGCCGGAGAATTTATTATCAGACTGCTATATTAAATAAAATAAAATCAAATAAACGGCTCTTATTTATATTACTATATATATATAAAAATAAGTGAGAAATTCTTACATGAAAACATATTTAAATTTATATTTATAAGAACATCTAATAAATATAGAAAAAAATTTAATTTTTTTAAATTTAAATTTAATTTTAAAAAAAGATTTATGAGATAGTTGTGATTATGAAGAAAAGAGAAAATACTATATTTATTTTTTAGTTAATTAAAAATATGTGATTAATTACATGTAAAACTAATTTTTATGTGTATGTTTAGTTAAGAATTTTCCTATCCAAGTGTATATGAGCACAATTTCGGTTGTCACGTACTCACATCTATACTTGCAGTTTTTTTTCTTTCAAATAAAGAAATATATCAACTGTTTTTTTGGCACCTGGATATGAATAGCTTTTTCCGATAAGAGTTTATAATGTTTTTTTTTAAGGAAAAAGAATTTTATTGAAAATCATTCTAATAGCATATGAGTTTATAATGTTGGTTATTTATTTTACTATTATTAATTTCTTTCCATTATGGAATTGAATGCATAAGTCTATGGAAATTCTTTTATTAACCACAATTTTTGCAATATTTTTGCTTGGTTGCAAAAACAGTGGACCAAACTTGCAGGTTTATCTTCTCTCTGAAAAATAGTGGATCAAACTTGCAGGCTTATCTTCTCTTCTCTCTCATTTCATATTCTCTATTATTTTTTAAAATTTTATTAATAGCAAAAAAATATAATAGTGTATAACAAAGTTATTGAACCCAGAGTTTGTCTGATTGGTTTCGAAACCAATTATCAAACAAGTTTGAACATATATTCCCTCTGTTTTGAAATGATTACTGTTTTAATAAATAAAATTTATTTTAAAATTACTGTTATTTTCGCTTTTTAATATAGTAATGATTGTCATTTTTCAATGGTGTTTTTTATTTTTTCCCCGAAATATTAATTTCAATATATTAATAAAATTAATTTTGTATAAATATAATATTTTATGACAATATTATTATATTTCTTAATATATGTACAAAAACCTTAAACGACAGTCATTTTAAAACGAAGAGATATGTTTTATTGATTTTTCGAAGAAATCTACACCTTTAAGACCGTATAGGGGAATGGAAAATGTCCACCTTTTACTATGTTTTACATTCAACACTATCATGCAGATGTTGATTTCTCAAAAAAGCTAATTATATTGAAACAATTAACAAAACTCGTGCTCTGAATGATTCTCAAAAAAGCTTTTCAACCGAGCCTCAACTTGTTTGCTAAATGCACACCAAATATAATTATAAATATATCTTACAACAAATGATACAGGATACACATCTAAAACGAATTCATAGTTTGTAGATATACACCATTCAAGATTTTGTACTCATAGTACAAACCCAAGAAGCAGTTGGAGAACTTAGAACGAACATGCATAACTACAATGGAAAGAATTTGCTCCTTCTAAGTTAAAAAAATTGTGGATTATTCATGCAGTACGAAGCCAAAAGTGTCGCGCCACTACTCTTCTTTCTTTTTCTAGTCTTCTTTAAGGTTTAGCTTTTTGGAAAAAAGTGAAGAGATGGTTTCACTCAAAGTAGAAGAATAGAAGCTACAAACACAGCAAGACTGGACAAGAAGAAGCAAACGGAAACCTTAGGCTGTGCATTTTTGGGTGGCGACTTGGTTCCGGCAGCAGGGCTAGAAGCTGGGGCTATTTTAACAACAGCAGGCAAAGGTGCCTCTACCACTTCAGATTTAGTCAAGGAAGGGAATGGAGCCTGAGCTGGAGGCAATGACTGATTGTTAAGGGAGCCATAAAGACTACCTGCTTGAACAGGCTGCATGTAAGGAGGTGTCTTATCACCCAAGTTTAAGCATTTGTTTCCTGCAAAAGTATAGAGAGCAATTATGTCATTAATTCAGGAAGTATAAGACTGTATCGAACATCAGAATTCTCTAGCACTTACTTGAATATCTACTAGCAGTTTTTGGGAAATCTGTGATGATCCCGTTAATTCCTGCTTCCTGGATAAATGAGTTGATCTCCACCGTTGGATCTGAGAAGTAATCCCATGCCTGAGATACAAACTCATTGCTGAATGTTTCTACAAAAATTGAGAGGTTAGAAGCTTGTAGCGTTGGCACAATCCTTGTAAAGGAGGTCAAGAAGCTGGCACTACGAGGAAACACTGAATCTTTATTGATAACCACAGAACTAGCAAATGATTTTATATCCTCAACAGCTGCTTTGGCAGCATCACTAACAGTCTCATCAATCTTGTAGACAAGCTCATATTTGGTTTTCTCCTTGAACTTCAGTAATACAGAGCTATTAGTGGATTGAATATAAACTTTTTGGCTCCCTGGTTTATCGTAACCTGCTTTGCTTAAAGCATCAATGACGGTATCAATCACACTTAATCCCAGCTTTTCTGCAAAATAGGCTGCATTCTGATAATAGAAGAACACAACATAATGTTATTTAATAGAAAATCAAATTTGAAACAACATTTATAGGCCTAGAATATGCAACATTCATTATAAAACGAACCAATGCCCAAATAGAAACCAAATTGTTTTTCTTCGGCTAACAGCTGAAAGAATGAATTTTATAAAGGTATAAAAGTCATGATAGAACACACCTCAACAATGATCAAGACGCCTGATAGAGAAGTCTGATTTTTTGTCAACGACAAAAAATCTGATAATGTTAAAAATGTCCCAGCCTTCTTATATTTTGGATTCCTGAACAATGAGAATCTTGTGAAAGGGTTCAATATTGAGGCTGCAAGGTGAAGATGGAACAGAAAAATGTGTCAATTAACTCTTTTATAACACTAAATACACTCTTCATTGCAAAGAAAATCAATAACAATAGCAGGTAGCAAAAGTGTAAAAAAAAAACAAAAGATAGGGGAGGGAAATGTTTTCCATGGAAAACTACTTGTGAATCTTTGATTATCCTATCAAGTGAAGTTCCGAGCTAAGTTATTCCTAAAACACAATTTTTTTAATATGTGTATCTCTATCTCATTGAGATTTTGGCTTATTTAATCCGAGTTACCAGCATACAAATATGGAAATGCTGAAGAATATTAGACTGCTGAAAGAAAAAAAAAACTACAGAACTTTTCTTTGGACTTACGGGTCAGGCCTTTTATATCAGTCCATGTCAAGTTGAATGTAAATATGCCACGGCCAGATTTGATCTTAGGGATACTCATGGCCAAATTAATGAAGCTTGTTTGAGCAACGGTGGTACTCTCTAGAAGATCAATGGAGTTTAAGCAGAATGGTATTCCGTCCTTTGAAATTTGAACCGGACAGTCAAGAACATCCGCACCATCAGCTATGGCATTGTTATACGCTAAGTTGGTACAAGGTGGATAATCTCCACTTGCTCCAAATTTTGAGATAATCAAGGTTTTATCTGAAATAATAAAAAGTGAGAGCAACAAGTCAACAACGATGAATACTAAGCTGCAATAGAATGATTGAAATCATGCAATGAAACAACTAGAAATTATTGATGAACAAGATGAGAATACATATTCCAGATCAAAACAAAATGTACCTCTTCTCGTAGCATTTGTGCCTAGGTGAGCAAAGCAATCTGCAAAATGAGAAGACAAACTCAACACCTACTTAAATAGAGACAAGAATAGTAAACAATAATACATATATGTTCTGAGGTTAAGACTTTTAAGTACTTTAAATACACGAGAAATTAATACCAATTGAACACCTCTATTGTATGTTTAGAGGATGTAAAAGGATTTTAAAATTGGCAAATAAAATAACAGTTTGGATAGTTAATAGGCATGCAAAACCAAGAGAACGAAAATCTTTAGTTTCTTTGATAGAGTAAGAAAATTGAACATTATGATGGAATTTTTATGATAAATTGAACATTTTGATGAATATAACTTACCAATAGCTTCAGATGGAGTTATGGGAAAATCAGTCAGCACACCATCAACGGAGAAATCACCGTTATCAATGAATTGGAGGTACTCAGCAAGAGGATCATAACTGTAATTAAAGCTAGATACAATATCATTTGCAAAATCTGATGCATAAACTTCCAGCCCCGCTTTATGAGCATCTGAAACCAAAGTGGTATGTGGTTGCAAATAAAGAGTAACAGGATCTATAGGCCATATATATCCCTTGGGAACAAGAATTCCAGAAGCAAAAGTCTTGATAAAGGTAAGATTTTTTAGTAATGAACCATAAGTCTGATTGGTCGATGGGTCCGTGTCACCCTGATCGAGAAACCTGAAGACAAGTTTCGTTATTTTTGGGTTGAAGCGTGTTGTAATACTTCTCAAAAAACCAACCTCGGGTGATGAGATATAACTGACATGCACTTTCCTAGAAATTGATAGTACATAGCTTCTCATGCTCAGTTTGTGTTGCGTGTAGAATGCATCATGCTGTAAAATATCAGAGAAATCAAGAGTTGGTTTTATAGCAAACAAGGAGGCTAAATCATGAGAATGGATTATACATTCAATTTACCTGAATATTCAACCACAAACCTGGTGTTTGTGGGGCCACTTTTGGGAGTATATCTTCAACTGTATTTATTAAATAACCATTGTATTCGGGCAGGTTTGAACGAGTGAATACTCCCTGAGTTACTGTCCAGATACAAAAATATGTTAGAATCCATAAAAAGAAAAACTTCAAAACTCAAATAAAAAAAGCCAATCAGAAAAAAGACCTTCAACTTAAACTATAAAACAAGTAAATGTCTTGCAAAAGAATGAATCAGTACATAAAATAAAAACAATCTACAACAATAAAAATAGATCTTACAGATAACATCAGATAACTGCCTGAAGGTATAATCCACAGAAAAATAGCCAGCAACGGATTCTCCATTAACTAAGTAACTCACAGTCTTATTTGGGAAATAAGTTGAAATGTAAGTAGAGTTTAGAAGGTTGACATCTGGAAGGCAAAGCCCAACTTCATCTTTCGTCAATTGCACATCGCACCATATCAAGACATCGGGGACACTCGTTTGTACGGCCAAAAAGTAAGCGGCAAAACTGGAATCTGGAAATATACCCGAAAAACCACCGTGTGCTATGACCAATGGTGGACTTCCTGCAAAACAATCACATAAAGTAAGTTCCAAGGCACCTAGCATAGAGTCATTCAATTCAAGTACATATTCTATAATGAAAAAGTATATGAAATTTTTTTAGACTATATCAAGAATTATATTCAGGCCAAGCTAAGATAAGTTTCTAGCTAAGAAAAGTTTTGGCATCAAAAACTTCAAACACATAAACTAATTTCATCGTAGTATATGATAAACAAGTTAAATCTTTGTTTAAAAAAACCATAGTAATTATTACAAGACTTTTTCAATTTAAGAAACTATAACCGAAATTGACTTGAGATTGATTTGTCTAACAATAGAAGAACAAGTTGAATCAGCAAAAGATTTCAGCTGAATAAGCATGAAACTCTTGTTAGCTCAAATTACAAGAAATCAAAACCCTAATAAGCTCAAATTAAGCAATCAAAGTTCAGAAAAACAGATCCTCTAACAAATACCTGTGAGAGTTTTCCATTCAGATCTCTTGCTCTGAGCTGAAACATGAGGTAGAGAAAGAGAGTGAAGAAGAAGAAGAGCGAGTGTGACGGAGAGAGCGCGTGGTTTCCACATTCCGGCGAGTATAGGTGCTTATGATGAAGTGATGAACTCAACCACCACCTGAGGGAGAGAGAGAAAGAGAGTTTGTGTTGTGAATTGTGTTAATGAGCTCTTTAACTCAGAAGCACAACTTGTTTTTATTTTGGTTCTTTTCTTTGTTGCATTAATTTTACTATACTCCAGCTACAAAGAAGTTGTCAAAAAAATTATATTTAATAAATATAATGAAGTGTCGAATAAAAGATTGAAAGTGAGGTAGATTAATCGGTGTCGAAGACATTCAATATATTAAACGAGGATAGAGTGGAATCACATATACCATTTTGTAAAATTTTATTAGTTGATGTGATTGTTTAGATTTTTAATTCATTTTAATTATTTAGAATTATTTATTTTATAATAAATTTATTTTTTATTTTCATCAAAGTTTATTGTTTTTTTGTCTATAAATAAATATTTGATTTATTTGATTTGAATATATAAAAAAATTTATTTTTTTTCTCTATTTTTTCTATTTAACCTTTAATAAAAAAAATTTTATTTTGTTTTAATAATGACTATTTCTATAAAATTAAAAAAAAAACTTTAAATAAATTAAAAATATAACATTAGAAAAAAAAACTAAAATAAATTATTAAATTAAAAAAAATTATTTAACTCTTAATTATTTTTATTTTATTTTATTTCAATCGATAATTGATATTAATATAAAAATTATAAAAATGAAAATATAAAAAAATAAATAAAAATATAAAATAAAAGTGATGAGATAGAATGTTAAATTTTATTAAATAAAATTATTGTACTGAGTAAAAATTAAATAAATATTAAATTATTAAGTGGAAGAAAAAGAAAATAATTTAAAATATAAAAAATGAAAAAGAAAAATGTTAAATATATAAAATATTATATATAATCTAATAAAACTATATCAATACTAATTATTCTAATTTGTAAACTTTTAGCTCAAATCTCAAAATAATCTCTTTTTTACAAGAGTTAACAAAAGGTGATATATTTGCTTTAACTAAATATGTCAATTTCTCTTGAAGTAAAAGTTTTTAATAAAGAAAATTATATTCCACGAAATATATTAATTTTTATTGACTGAATTTTCTCTTTATGTAAGGAATTAGTGGGAAAATAAGTTTAAATTTTAAATTAAGTTCATGAATAATGTGTAAGTTCTTTGAATTTTGAATCAAATTTACTTAAACAAAACTCTCTCTTAAATTATAAAAAAAAAAACAAATTTAAATAATTTAATTTCTAAAAACTTTAGAATCAGGATAGAATGCAAGACTAAGAAAATATTTTATAGATGTACATATAAATATTTTTACATTGATATTGGGATCAATGAAATATAAAATAAATCAACTCTTTATCAAATAATTTCATATATGAAATACAAAAAATTTAATATTAGAAGAATATCTAGCGAGAATGAGTGAGTTATATAAGAATGTGAGAATGATAAAAACCATTCAATTCTTTAATAGAGAAAAGTTATTGGAAACATACAGAGCCTGTAAGATCAGATGTCTAACATGAAGAAATTCCAAATGAAAAAAGTGTATAAGTTTAACAAGTGAAAATCAAGTGGTTCGATGGTCTAACTTGTTAAATTGTAATTCATAGTGTCAAAACTATGGTGTGTTGAAGAGCACACAGATTAGATTTGTTTTAGATTTAAATAGATTTGATTTAGATCTAAAATAGATAAATTTGATTTAGTACCAAAATAAGTATTTTGGGCTTTTATAGTTTTGGGCTTTGAGTTAACCAAAATCTATAAATAGGGAGTAACCCCTAACTTTGTAATCAAGATAATCAAGTCATTCACAGTACTTTGCAGTTGCAAAGTGAATAAGAAAGTTTTCCACAGTTTGTGAGCAGAGAGAAACTCTGCAGAAAATAATTGTCTTCTTTCTTTTCTTTTCTCATAATTCATTATCATTGTGTGGTGATATCAATCTTAAGCATCAAGATTGGTAGAAATTCATCATAGATATTTGGTGAATTTGCAACATCTGATATCAAGAGCTCGGTTTCGATTCAAGGGAAGTATCGATCAAGAACGATTGAGGAAGAAAAAGAATTTACGATGGCGAATTATGGGAATGCAAATTATCCAACAACTCTACCAATTCTGAAAGTAGACAACTATGAGAATTGGTGCAAACAGATGAAAATTTTATTCAAGTGTCAAGGTCTTTGGGATCTTGTAAAAGATGGATTCGAAGCGTTTGGAGAAAACGCTTCAGAAGAAGAAAAGAAGAAACACACGGAAATTGAGAAGCTGAGTTATAAAGCACCCTTTATAATTCACCAATGTGTGAATCCAGAAAATTTTGAATAAGTGAGTGATTCAGAATCTGCAAAAGAAGCTTGGGATATACTTGAGAAGTCTTTTGGTGGTGCGGAAAAGGTGAAAGAAGTGAGGCTACAAACTCACAAGAGAACGTATGAATTGCTTCAGATGGAAGATAGTAAAAGCATATCTGATTTCTTCACTAGAGTTATAAAACTAGTGAATCAAATCAAGGCATGTGGAGAAACATTAACCACAAGAGTTGTTGTTTCAAAGATCTTGAGATCTTTGGCTCCTAAGTTCGACCACGTGGTGGTGGCTAATAAGAGGGGAAAGACTTGTCGAAATTGACAAAAGAAGAGCTTCAAGAGACGCTTGAATCTCATGAACAAAGAATGAATGAAAGAGTTATAGGCAAGTCGAAGAGTGATATGGCTTTGTAGACACATTCAGCAAAAGAAACCAAAGGCAAAGGAAAGTGGTTCGTCAGAGGTAGAAGCGGCTACAACAAATCGACTGGTAGAGGAAACAAGAACGAAGGAAACGTGTCGAATCAGAGAAGACCATACCAAGGCAACCAAAGAGGTGGTGTTGCAAATAGAGGAAGAGGTGGTTGTTAAAAACCTGATAATAGTCACATTCAATGTTATAATTGTCAGAAATATGGTCACTATTCGAGTGATTGTCCAGAAAAGCGAAAGAATCAAGAAAGTGATGCAAAGTTTGCAAAACATGAAGAAGAAGAAGAGATGATGTTGATGGTCACAATAAGAGATGAAGATAGATTTAAGGTGAAAGAACAAGATTAGTTCTGACCTATCTCAAAGAGTTTTGATGATAACTAAATTATATTTAAGATAATTTATGCTCTAATGAATGTGTTTTGAATGTCTTAGTTAATGTTCTGACAGAAAACATTCTAAAGTACTAAGCAAAGATTATGAAGAAGTTATTTGATAAAAGAACCTTTTATTTAAACGCATCTGCTGACTCTGGTAAGAACCTTTACTTTTTAAATGGATCTTCTAACTTCTAGCAGGCTCCTTGATTCAGAAGATAACGTGAAAGCAAGCGCTGTTCAAAGTTCTTAGCAAACAACGCTCTGATTAGAAGTTGAATGAAGCATGTTTTGACTTAAATACATTTGGAAGCAAATTCTGAAACAACGTCTAAATCAACTTGTCTTGTCAAAGCAAAGGAAACACGTTCTTACATTCTGACTTGCTAATTAATGCAAAGACGACTGAAAGCACTCAAGTGCCTACAACTAGTTTCTTGGAGAATGGAATTTTGCAAGGATACACGCAAAGCATTTAATGCTCTCCATTTCCTCTGAAGGCAGCAACGGTCTTATTTTTCCTACTATAAGTAGAAGGACATTTATTGCAAGCCAACAACAACGTTCAATTAAGAAACTACGTGAAAGATCCAAAAGCTCAAAAACTCATAGTTCATACATTTTGTGTATTATATTCTAAGTAAAAAATCATAGTTGTGATATAGCTTGATTAGAAGCAAACTCTATTTCAATTATCTATAAAGATTATACTTCTGTATTTGTTCCTTGAGATACCAAGTTTGGTCAGATTTCTCAAGCAGACTAGGACTAGATTTAAGTCTTAGTGGTGTTAGTCACTTGTAAGATTACTTGTGCATTGTTAGTCGCAACAGTTGTTGTGTGATTGTAATCAGTTGATTATAGTGGATTAAGTCCTTGTTGAGAAAGGCGAAATCATCTTGGCGGGTGGACTGGAGTAGTTTGAGTTCAAACAAACCAGGATAAAAATAACTGTGTTATTCCATTATTGTTTGAGCTTTGTATTGAAAACGAAAAGAGTCACTTATTCAACCCCCCTTCTAAGTGTTTTCTTACCTCTTCAATTGGTATCAGAGCTTGACTCTGAGCTCAACACTTAACCGTGTCAGGAAAAGATCCAGAAGAAAACACAATGGCCGCTGAACAAAACAATAATAGTTACAACAAACCTCCAGTGTTTGATGGAGAAGATTTTGAGTACTGGAAAGATAGACTAGAAAGTTTCTTTCTAGGTCATGATAGTGATCTTTGGGATATAGTCTTGGATGGTTACAAACATCCTACAGATTCAGAAGGAAACAAAGTGGATAGAAAAAATATGGATAGACAACAAAAAGCTGATTTTAAAAATCATCAGAGCTAGAAATATTTTTTTAAATGCTATCTCTAAAGTAGAATATGAAAAAATCAGTAATAGAGATACATCGCATGATATGTTTGAGTCTCTCAAAATGACTCATGAAGGAAACGCTCAAGTTAAGGATTCTAAAGCTCTGGCTATAGTTCAGAAGTATGAAGCCTTCAAAGTTGAAGAGAGTGAGTCTATAGAAGCAATGTTCTCTAGGTTTCAAACTCTGATCGCTGGTCTGAGAGTTTTGAACAAAGGGTATACCAAAGTAGATCATGTGAAAAAGATCAGCAGAAGCTTACCCAGAAGATGGGCACCAATGGTCACTGCCTTCAAGGTGTCAAAAGATCTGAACAATGTGTCTCTGGAGGAACTCATCAGCGCTCTCAGAAGTCATGAGATTGAACCGGATGAGCATGAGCCTCAGAAGAAAGGTAAGTCTCTAGCCCTTAAATCAATTAAGAAATTTGATACTAACGCTTTTTAGGCTGAAGAAGAAAACTCTGAAGAATCATCTCCAGAAGAAGACGAAC